TAGGCTGATAGTAGAATGCCACATGAACACAGATATAATCAAATTCTGTTTGGGGCATCATTTATTTAGGATACTTCCAGCTCCTTGCTGGCAGAGCAACAGTGAATTAGCATGCTATGCTGTGCACTTCAATTAGAAAGCAGCCTCATCTTCCCTATTTCCAAGGTACAGCAGAGCAAATCTAATTGTGCCATGCAGCCCATTCTCATCTGTGCAGAGTAACCAGGGCTTTGGGGGTTTTGTGCTTTCTGGTTTGGGCAGATTTGTCTTCTTCTGAATGAAGCATTGTGGGCTTTTATGAAACTTGCCTCCTAACTGCAGGCAATAAACACAGCCAGCAGCAGAGGTGGCAGCAACCACCCTTGAAGTCAAACGGAAATAAAGGTAAGAAAAGAACCACAAACCAAACTCATTTGACATATGAGCTGAATAGTTAAACCACCAGGACCTGGCCTGCAGCGCGCACAAGAGCTACGTACACGCCTCCTGCAACAGAAACACAAAACACCCCAAACAATCCCCCAAACCTATAGCTTAAATGCTGAGATAGGCAAAGATATTTTTCCTATTTGGAGGTTAGGAGGTACAACTCATTAACGAGAAATATTTATAAGTCAGGGTGTTATTAACCTTAAAACTATCTGCTTATAGCACAAAGAATCTCTGTTCTTGCACTTGGGCTGAGATTTACAAACAGGAGATTGGGTTTTCCACAATTTCACTGTGCTTTGGAATTGTAACTGCTGTGTTGCTTCTGACTGGAGATCTCCCTGCCATACTGCTTTTCTCACCCCAGATGAACAGGTGAGTTCTTGTGTTTCCTTTCATCCACTACTCATTTCCTATCCCCGGTACAAATAATGCAGTACCTTTGGATGGGAAATGAGCAGGGTGAATCCACCCAATCCCAGAAACATTCGAATGGACCAGGCTCCCTCACGGAGTGGGACTAACACAATCACCAGCTGAGGTTGGCCACGGCTTTGCTGCCTGAGCCCTGGGAAGTGGAGTTTGAGAGTACACAGCCCTAAGAGACAACGTGTTCCTGTACTGCAGAACCTTGGTGGATGTCTTGCTCTCTGCCCCATCTGAAACACCCACCCTGCAATCTGTGGCCATTGCCCATTGCTGCATCATCCGGCACTACAGAGAATCATCTTTCCCTCTTTGTAGCTACTCTTCCAGCACCTTTGTTACTACCTTGCAAGCAACTTTAGGCTGCTCTTTTCTTCCCTTTGTTGTTTTTCACTCCCCATGAGGCCAAGGAAATTCACTGGTATTTTGGAAGACTTTGGATATCGCTCATCCCAATTGGTCTTATTCTAATGATTCTAGGTATATGCACGTGGCACTTACTAGACCTGAACAAGAAAGAATAACACAACAGGCAACAGGAATGCAAAATAAACCCCAGATTAACAACTTGAGTCAACCATTCAGTCGTTCTTACCAGAGCAGCTGCAGAGACTTGTTGACTTTTGGACGAAAACCAAAAAGCCAAACACTTAGATTTGGTGATTTCACCTCACAGCAATGCTTCTGAATACTTATTGCCACTTTTTAGAAGGATAGGTAAAAAACCAAGCAAACCCCCATTTTTGCGTGGTTTCCAAAGAAGAGACAAAAAATGCCCCACAAATACACCCCCAAAAGTTAGACATTGAAATGTGAGTGCTACCGTCTCCGATGCTTCACTTGATTTCTTATTGTCATCACCTGATGCCATAATTACGACAGTAATGAACTATATTGGGAAAGTGATACTGTCATTTTTTAATGCTCTGCTGTTGTCTGTCTGTTTGCTATGAAATGGTTGGTACACTCACATTATCTGATTCAAAGAAAACCCGTGAATTCGTGCTGTTAAACCTCATTATGGAAACTGTATTACGATTCCTAATGGTATCCCACTTTTACGCAGTTGCAGACTGCTATGAAGTATTATAAACCTTAACTTTATTATCATTAATCAGAATTAGTAAATATAATTGACATTTTATACAGAACCAGCTTTAAGTAACTTATTGGCAACAATACAGATGCCTCTTAATATTACCCTCTGGCTAGCTCTGCTGTTTGGGCGCCAGAGTGTCTGCACTAATGACTTGGAATTGAAATCAAATAAAAGCTGAGCGCTGTAATTCAGTACAAAACAAACAGCCTCGCTTAGAACAAATTCTTTTATATCTATGTATTTATTGGATATATCTAGAAGTTTTAAACTTTACCGTGGGTAAAAAAGAGTGGAAGTGTTTGAGATTGGATACCAAAATAGGAGAGAGATAAACCCACTGTGATGTTCCCGGGTTTCTACACTTACCCTTAGGCACGCCATAGGAATTGAAATGAGGAGGAAAAGAAGACGGTGTAATTAACCTTCCTTCCCTGTTTTTTAAAGAACACCACCAAAAAAGGCAGAACGTTTTAGACATTATCAATGGTAAAAATCCACACATGGTTTTCTGCCCTTATTTTTCATCTCACCAATTTCTGTAGTTTCCTGAGGATTTACTGTGCTCTGGCATGAAAAGGGACCTAATCCTTAGAAAAATTTCCTATGAGGACATGGATTATACCATCCAAAAGGTTTAAGAAAACCTATTTCACTCTACAACCAGGAAAGCTGCTTTGTCTCTCAAAGCCTCTGACTTTTAGGTATCAAGTGGTGGTTTTATTCCAGGGCATATCCAAGCCCTCTCTCTTCCCCACACCACCTACGTATGACCTGTCTGACTTCAGCTATGGCAACTCCCCCCCCCAAATTAGGAGTAGAGCCAAAATAATTCCTAACACTTTCCTATCTTACGATGGGGCCTCCAGAGACCACCAGATGTGGAAGCCCCCTGAAAGGCTACTGATAACTCTCATCAAATCTGGTTATTTTACCTAGTTTATCCTCATCTTTTGCATTTAAAGCAACCGTAATTGAATTTTTGTCAGCTCTGAGGAAGATCCTCAGGATCTGGCCCTCTAAAGAGGGCTTGGTTTTTATTCATTTATTTGTCTAAAGAAGCACATTTTCTTTCCATTTTGGTGAGACAGTAAAGCAAACATGAGAATATACTTTAGCAAGAGTCGTAGATATTAAACATTCAAAAGAATATCTATATTGTGTGGCAGAGAGATTTTATTATTATACAAACATATATGTATATATAATGTAATCTTCTTCTTGCTTTATGGATCTGATCTCCTCCACAGAGAGTCACAAATCCACACGATAGCCCTGAGTGCTCAGATTTTGCATTTGGTTCTCTCTGATTTTACAATAGCTGAAAGATATGTAAAGACTCATGTAGCCAGACAGCTCCCTACTGACTACACATCTAAGCAACTTCACATGCATATATTATTCCAACCAGTGAAAGCTGGAAATAACATATGCCTAAAGAAGAAAAAAGAAAAAGGATGCTTGAAAGGAGCCTGTTTCAGCTTCTGTGCAAAACCTTCAGGGTTCTCCCTGACCAAAGCGCACCCTGCATGCTGCCAGCTTAGGTGGGGACAGCCCAAACTACTGAGAGATGCTCTGCAGAGTGAAGGGTGGGAATTGCTTCCTAAACTTATCAACAAGGCTACTAGAGCTCTTTGTTGTCAAATACAATTCAGGGCAAAAGATTAGTAATAACTATGAGCATTTTGCTAGTGTGGTCCTGGAGGGTTGGGCTCATTCTCTCCCATTTTTATATCGTACCTTTGGTAAATGACCACTGGCCATGAAAAGCAGCCAGATGACGTTGATTAAAAACAATAATCCACAGCACGGAGCAGATTGACAGCATTTGTCCACAGAAAACAATCAAACGAGCCATGCGTTGTGCCTGACTGTTACGCTAAAGCTACACCTGAAGCGTGCCCACAGTTGCATTGAAACAATCCCAGCTCCTATTGCCCCCCTTCTAAAAGCTGTAAGAAGTTAATGGTTTAGTTCTCCACCCACACCTCTGTTGTGTTTAACTGAGGAAATGAGGATGAAGTAAGATGTCTACTGGCCCCTAGCACGTTAGGGTTAACCCTAACCCCGGTAGGGGATCAGCTGAATAGCATGTGTCCAATTCAGGGCATGTGATCATGATTCCCACTCTGCATCTCCCTCTACTTCTTTTTCCCCGTCGCCTCAAAATGTACCAAGATGGGAAATCAAACAGGCTTCAGGCTTCCAGAACTTGGATAGTCAAACTCTAGAAAACCTCTCCCAGTAGGCTGTGAACCAAGGCTTTTCAGACCTCCAAGTTCACCACATTTGGGCATGTTTTAGAGCCAAAACAAACTTCAAACCACGAACAAAACATGCAAAAATCTACAAACTCCACAAGGATAATAGTGTGAGAACTGCCTTTTGTGCACGGTTATCTTCTTCCCACGGGCAAAACAACGCATATCTCCTAACTGAAGTCATGGGATGTATTGATAAATTCGGCATCAGAATTCTACACAGCAGAGGTATCAGGCACGGATAATTCCAACCTAAATTGTATCAAATCTATAGATTACAGAACACAGGCGCTTAGAAGAGAAGATGTTAAAACTGTAGGTGGCACTACCAGAATGTCTGCCCTGTTCTGTGATTCTGAAACACAGTTAGGTTTGTATAGTGAAATGTGTTTATCTCTCATGTCCTTCACAATCATTATTGATATATGCAGCACTTACTGGCTTGTGATCTGAAAGATATCTACAGGGCACTGAAATGGAACCCAACAAATTCCGTCCAAGCGCTTTTGGGAAATTCTTTGTTTTCATCTTGTTCCTTGTCAAATACATAATGCATTTTTGTTCTCAGCAAAACGAAGCGTTTTGTATATTCTCAGCTTCTCCCTTCTTTTCTTGGGTTTTTTTTTTTTTTTTTTTTTGCTTTCAGCACTAAATATTTAAACACATTCCACCTAAAAAAATCTCAAGCTCGTAATCTCCTGCTTGTGTCTTCCCCCCGAGGTGTAACTAGCAATGTGGTAGCGCAGGATGGCTGAAGAGACATAAAGAGATTGCGGTTGCAGTCCTACCTGCCCACAGGCCAGGCCCATGCCTCTCTCCCCCATACCATGAGGACATGATAAATTTAACTCCAGTGCATCTGCGCCAGCAACCTATGAAACATGCAAAAGGAGAAAAAATGCACAATTAACTTCCAGTAATGTACTTTTTGTTGTAGCATTTACTATTCATGTAGAGATTTCTCTAGACTGGAGGTATTGTTCTTTACAGAGAGAAAGCCTGAAAAAGAAATGGTACAAAAATGGACATGACAAAGAAAATTGAAGTAAAGAAGAAATGAAAAAGAGACAAGCACCATAAGGAGATGGTTCTGGAAAATGTTACGAAATGAAATGTAATTACAGGGCCTTGGGCAGCGCTGAGAGTGAGGTTGGGGAGTCAGCGTTACGCAGGTGCTCCTGTGCTCTCAAGAAGTGTGACTCAGTAGTAAATTTCCCTTTTCCCATTTAATGAGTTTAAGGCTCTTAATTTCCTGCAGGCGCCCGTAGTGTGCCATAGCTTTTGGCATTAAACATTTTCGCTTCTGAAGTCAAACAAGAGGGTATAGCATTATGCTGTAGTGTTACATCACAGTATTTTTACTACTGTAGAGTAAAAACTCTATCCAAACACATGATTCATACTAATTTCTGCTCAGCACCCTCTATTTGTTACAATTGCAAGGGCAAGGGGCCCACGGGCAGCACACAAACACACTCCTCTTCCTCCCTGTTGAACTGCTCCTGCCTAAGATGAGACTCTCCTGTTGCCTTCCACGTGGTTGTAACTAGCATTTTGTGTTTCACATTTGCATTTTGGTTCTTGCTTATCGAACTGGAGTAACTTTGCCTGCTGTGCAGCTTCCTGAGTGCGTGAGCGGGGCAGAAGCCATCCATCACCTTCAGGAATGCTCCACGTCCCGGCCAGCTCTGCAAGTCGGTGCTGTCGGCCTCCGTGACAAGCTGACCTTTTGTATGAATAGGTCTTCCTCCTGCTGAGAGGCTCCGCGGTACCTTCTGGGGTTTCTGCTCTTTGGAAAGCCACAAATCAAACCTACCTCCTAGGTAGGATCCTATGCATGCGATTGAGTATCGCTGCTCTTCAGCCGTGGATGCCAGAGCGTCCCAAACAAGCGCGCTGCCCTCCACAGAGCAAAGACTAACAACTACTTTGCTGACAAAAGTTCTACCACGTAGGTTACAGCTTACTGAGTGCATTTAAATAACTACTTCTTTTCTAACGAGGTAACATAAATACAAACAGAGGTTGGAAATCTTTGTCCTCAAGCTGGACAGCAGTACCTCTGCATTCAAAGGAGAGGAGCACATGGCACAATAAAGCCATTCATCTTAGTCAGGTTAAAAGCGGTACTGCTCCTGTCAAGCAGAGATTCCTCAAAAGATTTCATGGTCAATTAAGTAAATACAGGTATAAAATGGACTAGTGCTGAAGATCACCAAGCTAATTACTGATAATGTTTCATTTTGCTTCCCTAAGTCCCCAAAGTGATTTTTTTCCCCCCTCATCAGTTTAAAATGCCCAAAGAAAATAGAGAAGTGTCTTCCTGCATCACCGCAGAAGGTCTTAGGACACTCTGAATAAAGAAATGATGCCCAAACATACACGTTCATGTGAAAACACAGACTCAAACTACCCACACCCATATCAACACATGTGTTAAACCAAACCCCACAACTTACAAAACATTTATAACTGACCTAACGCTGGAATAATGACAAGAGAATCTTTGTCTTTGCTTAAATTAGTTAAAACCTTTCTCTCTTCATCTGAAACTATGCTCTGCATTTCCTCTAGACACTTCATGTGGAAAAAAGCCCCAGTTCTATTTTAAAACAACAACTTTGTATTACGTTCAGACATAGACACCTTTCCGAATGAAATTATTGCAGTCTTAATCAACTATTTCTTACACTATTCCCTATGGACACGGGGACATGTTTTTAAATAGGTTTTTTCCTTCAAATTGAATTGAAGTTTCAGGGCCATAGTCTGTTTGCATTTGTGTAAGATTGGATTTATATTATAGGATGCCTGCTGACTGCTATTACATATGCTGGCTTTCTCTCCTATCATTTTTGAAAGTCTATATTAAAACTAGAATAGCATTAAATGAGCCTTTTATACTTTAAATATTCAAGAGTTTTATATTCAGGATTTCTTCTGGCGCTGTCAAACTCCTGTGCCTGTAGGCAAGGTAAGATCAAGTTTGGCTCTCAAAGGTAGAATTAAATTTTATCAGGGCATCCGTCATAATATACAGCTGGCTTAAAATGCAAATAAAAAGTACATCGATTCAAAGACCGAAGGCGTTGCAGGTACTGCTTCAAAATCCAAGGGACCATTTCTCTGTAACCAGTTGCCTTTATATTTACATTTCCATCACTTTAATGAAAGCCCAGAACAAACAAATTAGAACGGACACGCTTTAAATGCTCCGTTTTCACTGGGAGCCTTTTTCTTTCAAGAAACGCCTCCAATTCCTTATTGCAGCTCTTGGTTCGAAGGGAAACAGAAAGATGCAGAGACACATTTAGGAAACCATTACCTGAGCCATTTTTGAAAGTTCAGTCCAGTCCTCCCTGCTATAGCTGCACATGATACTGGCAATCAGGATCTGAAAGGAAGATACAGGCAATCATTTTAAGCCACGTTACCATTGTAATCTAGTACTTTACTGTGACTCCAGGCATTAACTACCACTACCTGCATATGTGACCTGTATACTGCTAGAATGTATAGTGAAACAGAGCTGTATAATGCACTGGGGATGAGAAACAGTAGACGAAATCGTCTGATTTATCCATGGGTTTTAAGTCATTAAGGAAAACCAGCGGGTTTAGTCAGACACATGGAGAACTTCACATTCTTTGTCATGCGCTAAAGGGAGAACAAGGGCTCTCTTAGACACAGAGCCCACAGAATGCCAAAAATTCACGTTTCTGAGGTCAAAGGAAAGCAGTTTTTCACTAGTTATACAGTGCCAGAAGTACCTGGGGCTCTTTAGAGGTAGGCAGGACACAGTGCAGGAGTTTGCAGTCTGATGTGGCAGCGTACTAATGTAACATTCCAGCTGACTTCAGGAAGCCAGAAGACACCAAAACCAGCCCCCTGGAATGTCATCCTGTGCCAGTTAAGGGCAGTGATGCCGTAGGACGTGGGGAAGATCTGAGAGGACTGGGAGAGAGGCAGAGGGAAATCCCAGCTTCTGTTTTCCCACAACACACACTCTATTGCCTGTTTGTGGTCCCAGTTCCCCAAGAGCTGTTTCCGTGTATTGCCTTTCTCCTCAGTACAGTGAGCATCTTTGAGGCCCAGGTTCTGCCTGTAGCTGCTGCTGCCTCTAATATCTTCACTGAGGTACAAGGGTTTACGTAAAAGAAGTTCTAATAGTTTTTGACTGGGAGAGCAGCAAGACACACAACTTTCCAGTTCCATACAGTGCTATTTAAACCAATGTTAACTCCTCCTCCGGTCAATGGCCAGTTCAATGTTATTCCTATTTAAGACCAAACCAAATCACTTGTTCTGGACCTATCAAAGAACATCAGACAGTGAAACTCTGAAGTTGACGTATTCGTGCTGAGAGCAGCAGAGAATCCAGCCCAGGAACTCCTGCATGGAGGACTTCTCAGAAGGATGGGGTTTGCAAGAAAAAAGCAAGGGAGACCTATATTGAAGCAACTGAAAGGTTAAATCAGAAACCACAGAACACACTGACAGCTCAGTCTGTGTTCAAAGGAAACACCAGGGGAACATCATAACACGTGGCCACACTCTCAGTTGTTTGTCCCTCTTACATGAAGTATACGAAGGTTTCACACGTAAGTCTGGTTCACAGGCAGGATGAAGCTCGGGTTTAATCTTTTTGCTTTCCAAACATGTTTTACTGTTGGCATTAATATCTGGGATGAGCTTAATCCGTCATTCCCAGGCAGTGCAACACTTCTTTTGATCTTTCCCATAATGCTGCCAGCTCCTAAACTATACCCATAACAAGAGTTAGGTATTCAGTATCTTTAGAAGGGAGGTTTTACAGTATAAAAAGAAAGGCAGCTATGAAGACACTGAGATGTGGTGAGGTTACAATCTATTAATTTAAGATGACAACACCACTTTTCATCATCATTATTTCCATTGTTTCCATTGCTTTGCTCTGATGAATCTCTCCCTATCAGTCTACCACCCACCTACTTGCAGACTACCCATCCATCCACCCTCCTGGCTGATGATTGCAAGGTGGGAGTCTTTGGAGAGAAGGAAAGCAGTTGATGAAGTGTCTGCCTTGCCTGCCGGCGCCCGTTTGTGTGCAGAAATAGAAGGCCAAACTTCTCATTAAAGACACACAACCATTACTGGCCACGCTTTCATTCCCCTCCTGACAGAGGAAAAAACCTCTCCTATACCACAGGGGTTTTTTCTATTGGGAAAACCCTTATATAGCTCCATAGGCCCGATGTTTATGAAACAAAATGTGCTCTATTTGAATCCTCGAGATAATTTGAGCACTCTGGAAATAAGGAGAAACCTCTTTAAAAAGCCTCTAATGTTTTAAACCCAGGAAAAATCAGTGTAAGAAAGTTTACGTGAGAGAAACTGGAGTAAGAAACCAGTTAAAATATGCACTCGCTGGAAGTCAGCTACAAACCGTATCTTGTCAAATTCACACTTCCCATAAAGCAACTACAGCAAAAAAACAAAACCCCAACTCAGACAGTGACAACACGAGAAGGGTTTTCACAGTTGCAGCCACAATCCAAAACACATCAGACATGTACACGAGTCAGCTCTAAACCAAACCGCGTTCTGCAGCAGGGGAAGTTGTAAGACACCAAGGGCGGCTGACGGTGTTCGCAAGGAGCCGAGTTAGGTTACATCGAGTGTTATTAATGAAATGTGAAGGTTCTGCTGGGAACGTACAAAAGAGGAGGAACAAGAGCTGTGATGTTTCAAAGAGCTGTTAATTAAGACAATGTGTTTCTTTACTATCGATTGGTTCTAGCACTCACATTGAAAATGAAGCACATACTTTCGACGGGAGCAGCGGTTCACGATAGCAAAAATAACTGAAAGCAAAGAATGCCAGTTCTGCCAGGGCTGTTCACAGGAAACCCAGGATCTCTCAGGGAATAATGAAACTTTAAAAATAGCAGGGATTTCATTCGCCTTTTTCCCCCCAGTGTTCTCTTAGAACTTGAAATTAAACTTCATTCCTAGGTGGAAACAGATCCTCCAGCACTCCACGTTAACAAAACTGTCCTTCCTCAAGCGACTCTTCTTCTCCAAAATGCCTCTGCAGTCTTTTCATCTGGAACCAGTGCCCATGACAAAACCATAATTACTGGATGTGGACATTTAGGGGCACTACCTGTGATGTCTGAGGTTTGAACCTACTCCTAAAAGCACACATAGAATATTATCTCCTATTACCTAGAAAGAGAAAAGCAAGCAAGAAGCATAACAAGTGATAAAAATCACGAGTTTTTACGGGAAAGGAATAACCAGGAATTGTCTCACATTTCAGCTTCTCAGCTCCTTCTCACTGCTATAATGTTAGTTTCATTTATTTATGACATTTTCGGTGCCTACGATGCCATGCACACCATTACCACCCCTGCAAACAGCCCCGAGCAGCTGGGATCTCACAGAAGTCCCTATGTCCAGCGCATGGCCCAGCCCAGGAGCATTCCCTGGGGACAGATCCTTCCTCTTGACTCCTGAAATCTGCAGCGACAACCTGACGTGGGTTTAATTACAGTTGTTTGAAGCACAAGTGCAAGGCCACACCACGCTGGCCCAGCTCACAAAAGCCAGCTACTGACAGAGCTTACAATAAAGCTGCTGCTGAAGTGCAGTAAGTGGTAAATGAAGGTTGACTAAATTGTAGCTTTGTCATAGCTTGAGCGAGGCGAACCCGTGCAGGACTGAAGCACAGTGGGACCCCGGCCCATTCCTTATTCCAGATCAGAGGCATAGCTGGTAGATGCTTTTCCCTCTTCTTCATCATCCAAAGTGCTATTTTGCCTATTGTCAAGAGATCCTGCCCGCTCCTCCCTGCGTCGAGGAGCACCGTGGCCCTGCAGACACTGCTCCCTCCCCAGCGATCGAGGTGACGGATGTCACTAGACAGGGGCTTTGTGCCCTGACATTACAGGAGGAGATAGACAATTCCTCCAAATGCCTATAAAGGGACAAGTGCCTGTTTGTAACATCAGACGCAGTTCTGTGCGCAGGGGTTTCGCCATCATTCATGGAAAAAGGAGGTCTACAATAAAACTTCTCTGTCTGTTGGATGGAGGGGAGATGGAAAAGGGAGGGTATATAATGTACCATTTAGGACATGATTATGAGACGACTACATGGTAGCTAAAGCACCTAGTAAAAAGCTACATTTCACACAATTCTGGAACCAATGCATTAGTAGTTGTTCTACCTAAAAGGGCACTGACAAGGTACTTCTCATAATCCCGAAAATATTTTTTCTCCCTGTTTATAATAATCCTCTGGATGCTTAAACTAGAATCTATTGCCCTTGTGAATGGTTTGGGTTTTTTTTCTCTTCCATTATCTCTATGTAGATGCCTCATGAATGCAATAGCATGAAAAGAAATAAAAAGGATGAGGTTTGCCACCGTGTATGTTTTCAACTGCTCTTTCTTCCCTAACACACGGAATACACCGCAAGAGGCTGCGAAACAAAGAGAAGGAAGAAAGAAAATCACCAGGCCTACTTTGGGTCAGACGATCCTGAGAACATCTATTTAAAGCCAGACAGCAGTAAAACTCTAGGTAGACAATTACCATTTGTCCTGTACTGCTCCGCAGGGAATAAGGGAGTTTCAGCACACTCAAAGAGTCTGAAACAAAATCTCAAGGGGCTGAATTGAAACGTGAACACTGTCAATCCCTGCACAACTTCCCAACACGCACAATGGAATCACAATCCTCTACCCTCCTGCCTGTAAATAACCAGCTTTATTTCGGTCATCTAATACAGGCCACTGCCCATGATCTGCTCCTAACCTGTTCTTCCCAGTGTGGGCATGATCTCCCTGCACTCCAGGAAATTTAGGCACCCATCTAATTTCTGCCTGTCCCTTCTCCTTGCTGCACTAGGCTTGAGGACAGCTCTGCACCAAGTGTCCATAGATGCTCCATTCAGACACTGCTGCTGGCCTCAGCCTGCACCCCCTTCTGATTCACAACCACTTGCAAAAATCCCCAAGGTTTCATTTCTGATGTGCAGAAATAGGAAGAGATCCTTAACAGCCTCTTTAAGACAGAGCTCCCCTGACAGCTCTATAATCAAGAGGAGCTTTCGAGAAGGCTGAAGGATTGGTTTTGTAACAGCTACCTGTTTGGGAAGGAGAGGTATGGAAGAGGAGTATTGCTGCAGATGGAGGGAGTGCAGAAGACTACATTAAGATCCAGGTTTCAAATACCCACACAATAATTCTTGATCAATCTAAACTTCAGAAGGTATTTGCACTGGGATCAGACTGAAAGACCTCCTACCTTCCTCAAAGACACAATTCTTCTTCTCAAACCACACAGGATAGCCTTGCCGTACGACCTGCTTAGTCTGAGCAAACTAGTTATTTAACCAAAATTCCTCAG